CTAACATCTATGCAAGCCAATCAAGAAAATGACACAGCTCAATACAAACCAATATCAACTTCAAAATAAACCAACTTACAGACTAATTACAGTTTATGAGAAAAAATAAAAATATAAAACACCAATCCTTCCCCCTGGTGCTGAAATGATAGCTCCTTAGACACATGGTCTCAGTGCGAGGCAATGGGGTCGGCTGGGTAAATGCATGGCACACAGTAATCAAACAACACAACCAAGTTGACTGTGTGTGGTCCAATGACTTTTCAACATATTTTTCAACATTGCAGTTGTAGGAATGGAAATCGAAGAACTAAATATCTTCTTACACATAGCTGACAAGTTTCTTACTGCCCCAAAGTGAAAGCATGGCACATCCCCACCTCAACACAAGCTATTTTGTCCATCATAAGTAAGATGTGATTTCATAGGACATCAGGTTCCCAAGGTCTAAGTGCTTCCTTCATATGTTCTCATTTTTTTTTCCCTGAACTAAATAGGCTCCCTTTCCAGGTCAAGCGCTATCTTCTGGCAAAGTACCTTCAGGATAAACACGTGTTATCATGTATCTATACCACACTTCCAGACTCCACTGACAAACTTAACACTCAACTCCTGCTCTTTCTTTTCACAATTCCCTGTGATTTGCTTTAAACTGGGGGGGGGGGGGGGAGGAGGCTATTGTGGTCCAGAAGCTGTACTTTGGAAATTTATGCTCATTAAATAAATTAAAAAAAATTATTTATGGGTCTTTGTTAATTGTACCCAGTGAATAATCAGTATGCCTGGATTTTCTATTTCCAGGGATTAGTCAAAGCATTGATAAGGAAAAACAAACCATAGCACAAATATTTATAGTTCTTCTTTTAACAGGTTTAAAGCTATGAATTTTGGATATATTTTAAAAGATAATAAAGTTATTCATTTGATATAAAAATGGAAAAGAAAAACATCAAACTCAGTGGATCTGGCCTAGTAAAATGCTCTATCAATTTTTCTTAATTCATAATGTGAAGCAAGCAGGAAAAAAAGAGATTGAACATACACTATCCAGGTAAGTAGATTACATACTGTTACAGCCTTAAATTGAGTTCAGTTTTCTAAAAAAATATTGCATCTTCCTCCTTAAAAGCCAAGCCTTTGTCAAAGCATCCCCACATGCCCCAAGCTTCGAAAGTACTTCCTATTTTATTTTTTTAAGCACACCCAACTTCACCAAACAATTTAACATGGTTCAAATTGTAGGAACAGCCTTAAATGTTATGCTAAGCTAACTCCAGGGGTTTCCCACAATCCTCTCTTAGGATTTATTTAGGAAGAACTCAGGATCTCTCTTCAGTGAGGGTTTTACTATTTCCAGGCAGCTGCTCATCAGGTGAGGAGAGCCAGGACTTGGCCGTGAGCTTTGCCACAACTCCTTCAGAGAGGAGATGTGTCTGACAAGCTGCCCTCCTCCGGCATCCTGCATGCCTCTCCCGGGGTCTGAGCTCAGTTCCTTGATTTGAAAACTTGGACCCAGCCACGAAGCCAAATCGAGAGCTTTAAGTAAAGTCTGGTTCCCTATTAAATCACATTCCTTTTTCCTTTGAGTCTGTCCAAAGCGAGTATCATTTTTTCTTATTAAATAGCTTTTGGGGGCCAGTGCTGTGGCAAAGTCAGTTAAAGCCCCAGTCTGCAGCGCTGGTATCCCATATAGGTGCTGGTTCAAGTCCCAGCTGCTCCATTTCCAATCCAGCTCCCCGCTAATGTGCCTAGGAAAGCCGCGGAGGATGGCCCAACTCCTTGGGGCCCTGCACACGCGTGGGAGACCTGGAAGAAGCTCCTGGCTCCTGGCTTCAGATTGGATCAGCTCTGTCTGTTGCAGCCATTTGGGGAGTGAACCAGCGGATGGAAGATTCTCTCTCTCTCTCACTCTCTTTTAAAAAAAAAATAGCTTTTTGATGGGAAACGCGGCAAATCATTGGTAAAGCTGTTGGACTTTATGCAAATGAAGGCAGTTTAGATTCTTGGACAGCCAAGTCTGGTGACTGAGCTTTGCTGTACTGCACACCGGAAATGGCTAGGAAACCACTTACAGCCATTGCACATTTAAGGGAAAGGAACAGACAGCCTAACAGTATCATCCGTGAGTCAGATCAAGAGGCTCACGCTGCTAAATGATGGGGCTGTGAAGTCGGCTCGGGTGTCTGATTGCACTTTCTTCTCCTAATGGAAAGGTGTGACTGTCTACCACGGCACTAAATTGCACCAGAGTTTTAAATGCCAGTGGAAACCTCTCTGAAAAATGGAGAACACAGTTATTTCTCAACACATTGCTTAAAAAAAAAGTAATTTGGTCGTAATTTTCCTTGAAGCAAACCCAGCTAAGCAGTCACTTCCAGCCCACCTCAAGTTTCTAGCAAGAATATAACATGATTATTTAGTCACTGCCACTGCCAGTCCCTCTGGCCCTGTACTGCCTAAGTACTAGGCTCACTTGTCACGGCAGCGTTAGCTCCTTGGCTGGCAAAGTCAGTGAATTCAACACAATGCAGGCAGCCAGTCAGTGCTGCTGACCACTCCTTAGTGCACGAGTCCAGCGCAAGGAGAACCCACACATGCAAGGGAGGGAAGGGCCCTCCTGGTTGTTGACCGGGAGAGGCTCCTCCGCGCCCGGACACGCAGTGCACAGAGGCTCCCGAGCACGCGTGCAATGGCTTCCGCCACCAATGGAGGGTCACGTCCGGCTGCAGATCCGCTTCCGGGGAGGCAGAGACAGGACATGGTGACTGAGGTTGGCTGTAACTCAGGAAAGCCCACCAGAATGCAAAAGAGCGAGACGCACAGGACCCTGGGAGACGCACAGGACCCTGGGAGAGGCACAGGGAGACCCTGCGGCACACTTTGACGTGTTCATCGCATCATCGCTGAGCTGGGTGACTTAGGCCGGCCGTCACATCCACACTGTGAGGCTGTTATTGAAATCTGGGAGTCACTGAGAAAACAGCCCCAGGTTGACCTCGAGAAGCAGAGTGTGCCCTGGGGGTCATGCCAAGGACCACTGATACCAGATCTTTCCACAAACAACATATCTGCAGGACCTCCAACAAGAGGGCCAAGCAGCCACTCCTACGTCCTACCTTCAGTGGATATTTAAGTTCAACACCTCCAGCAGGTACCATGGGTTGACCAATCCAACCCCTAGTCCTAGTTCTGTTTTCCTTTCCTCCCCTGTAGTACAGAGTCCGGAAAGCAAAATATTCCAGTTCCCAGCTCCCTTTTGAAGCTTGGACTAGCCGGACAACATAGCTCCGGACAGTCAGCTGTAAGTGGAATTCTGCCGGAATTGACACCCCCCTCCATTTCCTCTGCCATGTTATAAAGGATGATGTAGTGGCTAGAGATGCAGCAGTCATTATGTGATCATGAGGGAAGCAGCATGAGGAAAGGCTGAGATCTCAGGGGTGCCATCCAGGGTCATCTGGCCCCAGGACTCCAGACTTTGGTCATGTGACACAATTAAATCTGTTTAGGGGCCGGTGCTGTGGCATGGTGGGCTACATCTCCCTCCACCTGTGGCACCAGCATCCCACATGGGCACCAATTCTAGTCCTGGCTGCTTCTCTTCTGGTCCAGCTCTCTGCTGTGGCCTGGGAAAGCAGTGGAAGATGGCCCAAGTGCTTGAGCCCTGCACCTCGTGGGAGACCAGGAGGAAGCTCCTGGCTTCGGATCAGCCCAGCTCCAGTCGTTGTGGCCATTTGGGAAGTGAACCAGTGGATGAAAGACCTTTCTTTCTGTCTCCCTCTCTGTAACTATTTACTAAATAATAATAATAAACAATCTCTTTTTAAACACTGATAGTTGTTTTTGTACCCAAATGCATTCCTAATTCAGAGCATTCTACGTTGTGAGATCAGTGAGTGGTTTCAAACCTATGAGATGCAACCTCGACCCTGTTACTCACTGTCAGCAGCAAACGCTACACCTACATCTCCGTGCGCTGGGGGAGACGAGGGGCAGCTTAATCCAAGAGCATCCCCGAATGTAGCCACAGCGTTCCCTAAAGTGATTCTCGGGCCTTCGGCTTTGCCTCTACAGCCAGTATTGTCAGCATACAGGGAAAAAAATGCATGATCTCTTGAAGTCTAAATTCCCAAGGGAACTTAAAAATGGAAAGCCTGGGGACTGCACCCACCTGTCCAACCCTGACCTGCCTTTCTGCAAAGCCTAACCCTGCTCACACGACAGGTTCAGAGAGGTGCTGGCCCAGACCCAACACTCCTTGTTGCCATGACTGCTGGCGTGCCACTGGGAGAAGCAGAAGCAACTTCTACAGCAACTGATAGGAATGCACGAGACAACTCAGCCTGGATGTTGCCAAAAAGTGGCCTCTAGGCCTGCATCCCTGCAGGTGACCCTGGAATTATGTGACCTCACACAGCCGAAGGGACTCTGTAGATGTGATGACATTAAGGACCTTGATGGGAAGGCGGGCCCAGTGTAAGCACAGCCACCCTTAAAAGGGACAAGAGGAGGTGGGGAGTCAAAACCAGAGGGCGACAGGAAGACGCAGCTACACTGCTGGCTTAGAGGATGGGGAACGGGCCACAGGCCGAGGAATGAGGGCGCTTCGAGAAGCTGGAAAAGGCCGGGACGCCTGGAGAAGGAGCCCAGCTCTCCTGACATCTTGATTTCAGCCCAGCAGGGAATTCTGACATCTAGACCAGTAAGATCGTAAATGGTATTTTAAAAAATTTATTTAATTGAAAGGCAGAGAGAGAGAGAGAGAGAGAGAGAGAGAGATCTTCTATCTGCTGGTTCACTCTTCACATGACTTTAACAGTCCAGACTGGGCCAGACCAAAGCCAGGAGCCAGGAACTCCATCCAGGTCTCCCACGTGGGAGGCAAGGGCCCAGGTACTTGGGCCACCTTCTGCTGTTTCTCCAGGAACCTTAGCAGGGAGCTGACTGCAAGTAGAGCAGCTGGGACTGGGACTGGCACTCCACTGCGGGGTGTTAGCATCACAAGCAGTAGCTTGGCCCACTGTGTCACAATACTGGTCCTAAGTCCATACTGTTGTAAGTCACTAATTTCACAGCAGTTCATTATAGCAGCAATAGGAAACCAACACAGGGACAGGGCTGGATCCAGCTCCCACGAGTGTTCTGTTGAGTGTAAACCCAGTGCTCGGGACATCTGGGAATGCCATCTAAGATTTCAGGTTCCCAGCTTCTTTCAGGGCCCCAAACAATGCAACAGGCGCTCTGGCAACAGCTCTCAGAATTTCTCGGTGACAAATCAGTCAGAGCTGGACAGAGGTTGCCTTCTTCGGGTAGCACGGGGGCCTCCAGTAGTCCACTATTCCTCTCACCTTTCTTTCCTTGTTCCACCTGCCTGGCCACTGCATCAACAAGGATTAGAAGTTGTCTACAATCTAGGGGCTGGTGTCATGGAGTAGCAAGTTAGGCCACCACTTATGACTCCAGCATCTCACATCAGAATGCTGGTTCAAGTCCTGGCTGCTCTGTGTTTTTTTTTGTTTTGTTTTGTTTTGTTTTGTTTTTTTTAAGATTTATTTATTTATTTGAAAGGCAGAGTTACAGAGAGGCAGAGGCAGAGGCAGAGAGAGAGAGGGGTCTTCCATCTGCTGGTTCACTCCCCAAATGGTTCCAATGGCTGGAGCTGGGCCAATCTGAAGCCAGGAGCCAGGAGCCTCCTCTGGGTCTCCCACGTGAGTGCAGGGGCCCAAGGACTTGGGCCATCTTCTACTGCTTTCCCAGGCCACAGCAGAGAGCTGGATCAGAAGAGGAGCATCCCAGACTCCAACGGGTGCCCATATTGGATGCTGGCACTGCAGGCGGCAGCTTTACCCACTATGCCACAGCACCAGCCCCTGTTCTACTTCTGATCCACCTCCCTGCTAATGCATCTGGGAAGGCAGCAGATGATGGCCAAGTACTTGGGCTCCTGCCACCCATATGAGAGACTCAGATGTTGTTCCTGGCTCCTGGCTTTGGCCGGGCCCAGCCCTGGCTATTGTGGCCATTTGGGGGCGTGAGAGTCGGTGGATGGAAAATTCTCTCTCTGTCTCTCCCTCTCTCTCTGACTCTGCCTTTCAAATCAGTAAATAAATTTTTTTTAAAGTTTATACTCTACATGAAGGAATGGCCTTTAGGTTCCTAAAACATGCATTTGAAATGGGGGGAGGGGCAAGAATGGGAGGGAAAAGGAGCACATGTATCATACATACTCTGCTTGGATTTCACAAGGACACACACCAGAGCCACGCCCCCTCAAACCCGGGAGAGTTCACCTGCAAAGGGCGGCCCCAGCAAGGCAGAGATGCCGTTAGCGCAGATGATGATGCCATAGGCGCTGGGCAGGTGCTCGATGCCCACCAGGTCCTCGGTGACCACCGGCATGAGCGAGAAGTAGCCGCTGGAAAAGCCGATGAGCGCGCAGATGACGGCCAGGCCGGCGTAGGTGCGCGTGAGCGGCAGCACTAGGATGCTGA